TCACAACATCTATACTTTCATTGCATTCAAATATCATCATTTTTCATAGCTTTCTAGAGCCACTTGTGTGAAGGTTGAGTTGTTCTTGAGCGTACTTAGTTTACTCATAATCTACTCTATAAGAGAGTCTCGTTCTTGAGTGTACTTGTGTTCTTAGACACATTGAGAGATATTATCTCTCTCGGTTGATTCAAAGGAAGGTCTGTTTCCTTTGAAGGATTCGTTGAGGTTCGTGTGACTCGAACTCTCAAGTTGTAACGGTTTGTTAAGCACCCGTAAGCTTAACGAGTTAGTAGTGTAGCTCGAGAGAGTCTCTCGGGAGGCTGGATTAGCCACAAGTTGTGGTGAACCAGGGTAAAATTCGGTGTGCCTCTTACTCTTCTCTTTACTTCTCTTTTAAATTTTTAATTCCTGCGATTTCTCTGACAAACGCTATTCACCCCCCCTCTAGCGTTGGTCTTTTATTCTAACACGTTCCTTCGTTCTCCGTTTTCACCGTTAAGGTAAATTTCTTACTATAGCTAGTAATTTACGTAAGTTGTTCTTGGGTGGAATCGAGTTTTGGACTATAAATTTTTGTTTTTCGCTGCGTTATCCAAGCCTCGTTTCCCAACATTTTTTTATTTAATGAATGTAATGTTTTTATTTAATTAATGTAGTTTTTTTATAATGCATGCAATTTTTTAATTTAATGAATGTAATTTTTTTTATTTAAAATCATGGAAACTGACATTTCTACGTTGTCGGGTTTCAAACGGATGATATACGAGCAAAGACAAAGAGAGATCAAGGCGAAATATAATTTACCTTAGTTTTTTTAATTAATATATCTTTTTTAATATTGTCGTTTTTTTATTTTAATGAATGTGTTTTTTTTATTCGTGTTTCAATACTATTAAATAATAAATTAATTTAAATTTATTAATTTAAATTTAGAAGATGTATATTTAAAAATGTAAAAAATAAAGGTTTGAAGTCCCAGTTTGAAGCCCTGGGGCTTCAGACCCATTTCCAGTGAATTTTTGGTGTAAGTTAAAGCTGACGTGGCAGAGAGAGAAATTTTGAAGCCCCGGTTTGAAGCCCCGGGGCTTCAAAGGTATTACCAGTGCTCTAAGGTTAGAGATTTAGAGGGTAAGGTATATTCTTGAATATATGGGTCAAATATAAATGTATAATGTACTGGATAGAGATTATATTTTCTAAAAAAAAATTATTCGTTATTTGGATAAATGGTTATTTAAGCAGATGTATATCTGAATTAGATTTTAAACGGATCGGATATACAATTACCAAATCTGTATCTGTTTAGTCATCGGATGTCCTTAATCGGATACTGATAATATCCGTTTCAAACGGATGTGGACTATTCCCATTTAAACAGATATAGATGTGGATGGTAATCGAATTTTCAGTAATCTATCAACAAGCCTAGGAAAATATAATTTTTCTTTTTAAAAAAAAATTATGAATAGTGAAATAAGTAATACTCCTTTCTTATTCGCTATTTCAAGGTAAAATTTTAATCATTTTTTAGTATATTTTAATTACTAATATTATAAAATAATATAATATTACCACATTTTTAATACTTTTGTATAAAGTTTTATGTAAATGTTAAATATATTATTGTATATTTAATATATTTATATATGGTAGTTTCCTTTGTATAGGATTTCCTTGTTTGTATTCTCCCATAGTTAGGAGACCGATAACTTTGTATATATACAGGGCTCGACTCCACAAGATGAACATAGAAAACAATTATTCTTCATGGTATCGGAGCCTCTTTCCTAAACCCTAAATTTTTTTTCGGGCGCAGCTCTCCGTCGCACCAAACCCTAGCGCCGCATGCCTTCTCTAGCGCCGGCGTCTCTCTCGTCTCCCAGACGTCTCCCAGCAGCGCCACCACCAGTCATCTCTCCAGTCTCTGCAGCGGCGTTCTTCTCCAAAGCACCATCATGTCCGAGAAGGCAGCCACCCCCGACAAGCCCACCTCCTCCGTCTCTACTCCTCACTTGGCATTCACCACCATCTCCAATGTGAAGCTTCACGTTCCAATCCTGTTGAGCTTTACGGAACCGAACTACAAAAAGTGGAGCCGTCTTTTTCTCCTATTGGTTCATCGCTTCTCCCTTGGGGACTTCCTCACCGGGAAATCAGTCCCGTCTAGTGCCGACGACACCGATTGACATCAACTTGATGCACTTCTCCAAGGGTGGATCCTTTCTACGATCAACGACGAAGTCTCCGATCTCGTGATCTCCTCCACCAACTCGGCTGCGAAACTTTGGCAATCCATTCACTCTCTTTTCCATGACAACAAACCCGCCCGAGCCATGCAGTTGGAACATCAATTCCGGACGACGAGGAAAGGCTCTCTGTCCATCTCGGTCTATTGTCAAACCCTCAAGAATATCGCCGATTGGTTGGACGACGTAGATGCCCCCATCTCGGAACAACAACTGGTGTTACAAGTCCTTCGGGGGCTGCCGGATGACATGCGGGGTCAGACGTCCTTCTTGCAGTTTCAAACACCGCCTCCGACGTTCCTTCAGACCCGATCAGCCCTCCTCCTCTTGGAGCGTCAAAAATCAAAATTGGAGGACGACTCCTCCACTAGCACGGCTCTTCTCTCGTCCGGCAGCCCTGGCGCCCCCTATCACAGCCTCGCTGGCGGAGGCCGCGGGCATCACAGCAGCGGCAGCTGCGGCCAGGGACAGCAGCACCATAGCGGCAGCGGTGGCCGTGGCCGTGGCGGCCACCGCAACCGCGGTCGAGGTCGAAGCTCCGGATCGAATCCCCGCTCCACCCACGGACAGCCCTGGCAGACACCGAACCCCAGCCCCTATCCCGGCCTTCTCGGCCCCAGGCCCACCTACTCCACCCACCCCCCACCCCAGGCCTATTTTACCCAAAACTCAAGCCCCTACCCACCAGAACCATA